AAGGAAATCGTCAGCCATCTTGAGTTTATGGATATTCCTATATCCAAATATTTATTGAAAATCCAAAAATATTTATTCATCATTCCTATATCTATTTCTATTTTATATGAATCACAAAACCAAAGTTTTTGACATTAGATTCATAATAATCTAACCAATTTTCAATTGAATCATTTCGAAATCTCAAAAACCGTTTATCTCAAACCACCAAATTATTGAAAAACTGTCAAAAACACCTTTTCACACAAGTCGATGTGCGAAATGGGTCAAATTTGAATTGCAAGACTGAGCCATGTTGGGCACATATCTCAATATTCATCAAAACGGCTGTTTGTATGATAATAGCTGCTTTTAATACAATTTTTTATTCGAATGCTCAAATAAAAAAAGGATTTCTTCAGATGTAGGTTTACTGTGAACTACTTACGCCCCTGCCTAGGTAGACATACGTAGATTACCTGTTGATGGAACATTTGCATCCAATGCCATCTTTATAAAATTGGTTTGGCGCAATCTGTTATTGGAAAAACTCGGTTGCCAAAGCCAAGAAATTACGTGATACGACATACAGTAAGAATAGACATTCCGAGGACATGAACTCCTCAGCGCCATACTTTCATGATGTCCTCCTCGTCAAATGATATCCTCGTAAGGCTGTTTTACTATCTTATTTATCTTTATAGTATGGTAGAATTTATTATTTGGTTTATCAATTTTTCGTGAAGATCTAACCTAGCTTTATATCGTGGGATGTATTAAGGATTTTCTGTTCAAAGATATGAATGCATTTTACTAAATTAACTGCATTTATTACCAATTCCAAAAGCATAATGAAACCAGAAGTGTGGCATACACATGCCTCTACTCAAAATCAAGACATTTTCAAAGGTTAGCCTCAGACATCAAGACGACTCAAAGATAGTTTCACCGGAATCTAGTCCTAAAAAAAAATATGTTTTTTCCGTTAACCAGCTATCGCACCCTTACGAACGACAAACCACAGAATTCGAAACTTGTGCGAGCTAAGCACTAACGAGGTCTTACCTTTTAACGTGTGATTCCTCACAGTATAACATCAATAACACATTGAAAGTTACCTGCAAAAATGTTCAAATTCCATTGAGGAAGTGAAGAAAATTGTTATGAAGAATCGTAGAATCAGTAATAGAGAAGTTGCTCAGGATGAGCATCGCTTAGGAATTGTTGAATGACGTCAATGGCGATCCAGATTTGCTTAAACATAACATAACTGCTGAAGAATCATGGGTATATGGTTATGACATTGAAACTAAAGTCCAATCGTCCCAATGGAAGAGTCCAGGAGAGCCAAGGCCAAAAAAAAACACGCCAAGTTCCATCAAGGTTTTGCTCACTGTTTTCTTCGATTACCGTGACGTAGTGGGTTAGGAGCTCTTGCCACATGGTCGTGCGGTCAATAAAAAGTATTATCTTGAAGTTATGCGCCGCTTGCAAAAAGCAATACGAAGAAAATGTCCGGTATTGTGGAAAAACAATTGATTGCTCTTACATTACGATAATGCACCTGCTCACTCGTCATTGCTTGTTCGTGATTTTTTGTACAAAAACAACACAGTAATCATGCTTCAGCCACCGTATTCAACAGATCCGTTATTAAAAATCAAATTTCAGTTGACGATTTCATTAGGATTGTTGAAACAGGTGGTACGATATTGTGAAAGATGAATGTATTCGGGAGTGATTTACTTTATATTTATACGTTGATGGGCAATGAAGTCACTCTGTCACAGCAAACGAGCTCCCAACAAAATCTGACAATTCTTTTGGAAGTATTGAAAAATGGAAATCATATCGCTAATGGATTACATTATTGGAAGAGCAACCGGGTATTTTAATATCGAATTCCTAATTTTTTTGTGTTCAACAATTTGGAAAATTCGTACTTGTCTAAAGTTTCCAACGAATTGTCCTACCACACTTGCAACTCCACCAGAAGTGGGCGAGGCTTATGACCTCGCCACAAGCCACATATTATCATTAAGTCACATCTTATCATTCAGTAGTTTATCGAACGAACTTGCAGTGATGCAGCAAAGTCAAGTGACGAAGCCCAGCCAAGCGACCGATCAATCCTTCGATTCTTAGTTAACAGTTGAAAGCAGCTCGATGTAAGTACACACTACCCTACTATTGATATTATTTCTTCATATTTCTTCATTTCATTACTTTTCAGAACCATATCTTTGTTAAAAACTTCATTAAACCCATCAACTCCTCTGAACCAGGCGCAGTTGGAGGAAATGGAGCGGAGAAAGGTAGTAGTCCACCAGGTCGTCATCCTCCAACGAGCTTTGCCCCACCAACACTGGTGATGATTTCCATTCAGAAGATACCAGCTCCTGACGTGAAGTAATTTTTCAAGGATTTCAACCCAGACTATGAGGAGCAGGACGACTCGAACGATCCACCGCTGTTCTACACCATGGAACTTCAAGAATGCCCGCCCACCAGATAGTCGTCGAGGCCCAAATACATCGGGATGCTGGTTCATCACCCCCAGCATCAACTCCCAAGGTTCAAGTGGTCCACCATGAAAACGAGGATGTTGTGGAAAATCTTCTCACAGACTGCTTCACGACAAGAGAGTAGCAGAGTTCAGGTCCTATGCGTTTTATGTGAAAAGAGTTTCCGAGGCGCGGCGGATCTACGATGATTCTGATCCCAAGCAGAGAGCAAGGATGGTAGAAATTGCCAAACTGTGGGCACGAAAACTGGAATTGGAAAAGCGACTCTATTTAAAGCGGTCTTTCAGCAAGAAGATGATATTTGATCTCATGGAAGAACATGAGCCTGTGTTCTGGAATGAAACAACTTTTTCAAGGGATTCTCCGATCCCTAACCCGTCCACACCTCTTCTGTAACTTGTAGATATTTTGTTTTTTGCATGTTAATTTTAAGTTAGATATAAGTTGTATATGATGAAAAACTTGTTAATTTTAAGTTATATAAGGTCTTTCAACAGGGACTTTTGAACTTTGACAATTGATAACAGCCATCTTGTTGAAGCTACATCTATCAAATTAGTTGTCATTTATTCAGTCTGTTCTGCCAAATCACCATGGACGGATATAGCATTCAACAACACGTACATATAGTAAAATTGTTTTATCAAAATGAGTGTTCTGTTCGGGCAACGTACCGCGCGCTTCGTCCATTTTACGGTCGCCATAATTGTCCTACCAAGAGAACTATTTGCAATGTAGCGGATAAATTTGAGTCCACTGGTTCAGTAAATGATCGACCAACACCCGTACGTCGACAAAACGCAAGATATGCCGAAAACATCGCCCCTGTCTATGAGATTGTGCAGGAGAATCCGAGACAGCGGATTTCGCGTCGCTCGCAAAAAAATCGGTCTTTCGCAGACCACAACTTGGCAAATTTTGCGTCGTGACTTACACCCGTACAAAATTCAACTGATCTAGGTTCATAAGATAAACGACCAGTTTATATAAATAACATCGAATAAAATTATCATCCAACTGCATTACTTATAGATAAAACCAAATAATACAATCAATCGATTTGGTATTCCATTTCAAACACTTCTTTTTATTCAGTGATAATCAGTCAAATATCGTTTCAATATAATTATAAAAATTCTCCTTATGTATAAATATTTTCAGTTCAACCTATTGAAATTTGAAAAAAGTTTCATAACAAACTTCCTTATCTAAAGACTCCTTACGTGAAAGTCTTTCATTTATTTGTAATTTCAAGTGACACTGCAAAAGATTATCAGAATTAAAACTCGTTCGAGTTTTCCATAGAACAAGGCTCTTTGTAAAGGTGTCGGCTGTTACCTGCCAAGTTTAGAAATTAAATTTTAACTGAACTGCGCAGTACACACATAGGTTCGGCAAAAACGAAAATTTTCGCACGATCTTATACATAGTGGCCTTCTATAGAGAGTCACAAAATTGGATTATTCAACTCACACTAGTAATCATCTTAAATTTGACGTGATTGTTCGGAATTATCCCAGAAATTCTAGGGCAGGCTATATATACAGTGCATAGTAGGTGAAGATATTGACTTCATATTCTAGGGTTGTGAAGTATTCGTCAGGAGCTTCAAAATGATGTATCACAAGACCCTCCTTTCCATTTAATTTTTTTTCCCAGATGGCGGCCAGTCGCCATCTTGAAAGTTTCATTTGTCAATTTCACTTCAAAATAAAGTATTCATGCATTAATTTCATTATCCCAAATTTCAATTTTTTGAGTTGACCCGTTCAAAAAATAAAAGGGGGGCATTAAAGAAATGCACTGTAGTTAAATTTTGATAAGACATATTGTGCGCACCAATATATTATTTCCTGCAACAGTACAAAATGAATAAAATCATGTTTGCCAACACAAGTATAATAGAGAAAACTGAAAATTGCAGTTTGACGTAAATATTAAGTGTAGGTCCGTGATGGGGTTGAAATCCTTCCTTGGTCATGGGACCTACATTGGGACAACAAAAAGGTGAATCATCAGTAAAAACGTAAATAATAAAAAAATGAAGGAAATGATCAGCAAGATAACCAAACAAATGAATTAGTTTCAATCATTCCAAAATCAGATATCAATGTAAATGTAAACGAATTATATTTCGATGATGTAAGAGCAACTTACCAAGTCAAATGCGCCGAATCTGGGAGACCTGGGAGAAAATTTGACACGGAGCGGACGATATGACTACGTGAAAAATCAGAAAGACTTGCCAAACAATTAATCGATTACATTTTTCTATTTTTGTTATTTTGATAATTTTTTTGTTATTTTAGAAGGAAAGATGTGACATATTTGATTGAAAGTATTTGAATAGGATTTAATTTTTTTCGACTTGAGCACAAGAAGCTAAATGCCTTTCGACGCTTCATTTTATTACTTTGCAAATTCAGATGATCAACTACGAAAACTCAACATAAAAAATTATTTCACATAAGACTATATTACATACCCAATTAATATTTTTCAGTGTCCTTAGGCAGTTCAAGGTCAGCCACACCAGCATTTTCTCCAAATGGACAACCAACTTCACCACACACAATGCAGTCTCCAATAACAGTTGGTCCCCGGCAGAATGTTTTTATGCCCATTTCCAGTAGTCACTCTCATGGTATACAAAAAAGGAGTTCGCCTGGTCTACTGGGATTTACTTCATCCTATCACCAACAAGTTATCAGGTGAGCAATAATGAAAATGTCCAGATTCAATTCAAATTTTGCATGGGGTAACAACTAAAGTTCCTAAAGTGATCGTAATCAAATATTTGGTAAGAAAGTGATGTATGTGATATTGTAGTTCCAATAGTAGAGTAACTATGAGAGATCCAGGACGGAAGTGGCTTATCAGTGTTAGCGGCGGCGTTATCGCTGTTTGAGAGATAACGATTCCAGTCTGATTGGAATGATATGAGAACAATAATATTGGATATACAGGGTGTTGTTTCAAAACACATCAATCAAATGCTATACAGGTTGTGTGCAGCGTTAAAGAAAAAAACATGGCTGCCTGTGTTGAAGAAAAAAAACATGGATGCCATCGCGGTATACATGTTGCGTCCAGCGTTAAAGAAAAAAATTATGAATGAAAAATCACTTAAAAAAACATGGCGGCGGACATTGAGCGGAATATATAAGGTGCGTCAAAATACATCATTAAAGAGAAAAATGTGACGTCAACGTGTACAAGCTGTGACAAAATACATCACTTGAGAAAAAACACGGCGTCATACCAGATGGACAGCACCATTTATCATCCATGATGGTGACCAATATATGAATTGACAAAGTTTGGGTCTTTACGATTCATCGAAAAATAAACACTTCCGGTTCATAAACATTGAGATAAAAGAAAAGTAATGGTGAATTGGGATTGCCCATATCGAGGAGAGTCCAAATCTACAATAAAATGGTCATTTCCTGTTTTCACTTCTGGTCGTCCGATTTCGATAATTTCGGCATCAGTGGATTCGTCTCGAGGCCAAGAAACATGTTTAAGTCTTTTCAGAAGTGTAAAAGACATAGGAGGCTCACTTTGTTATTAGTGAAGGTAGGAGGGGGATGTGGGTACTCTAACCTCAAAATATTCAGTGGAGAACGTGAAAATTTACATCATTTAAGAACAAAATATGACGTCAACGGTCTTTCAGAAAGCTTAAGAGCCATACACAATAATGATCCGACAAGCCATATCATAGAAGTTCGGCCAGCAAACCCTCATGCCATATACGGTCAAAGGCCTTAGAAATGTCAAGCGTAACAGCTCTTTTTGCTCCATGTTTCTTGATTGCTTTATTCCAATTATGGGTGACATACAATAGAAGGTCGCCTGTTGATCTTTGTTTCCGAAAGCCATATTGATTATCGCTCAAGAGGTTGAAGTCTTCCAAATATTTCAGGATATGGTAAAGATCCGAAACCCCGTCAATTCATATATTGGTCACCATCATCGGCAATAAATGGTGCTGATGTATCCCCTCGTCGGTGATGTTGACACAATTCACTAAATGACAACCGAAAAAATCCATTTTTTTTTCTTTTAACAATGAATAAACTTATACACTCTGTATGTATATGCACATATATTTCTCATTGACAACACACGCACGATCATGTTTTTTTTCTTAAACGATGTATTTTGAAATACTCTGTACACATTGAAAGATTACATGTTAAAACGTTAGGGCCCCGTTAAACTTTCATGTTTTTCCCAAATAATGTATTTTTAGCCACCATGTACACATTGACGCCATGCTTTTTCTTAAATGAAGTATTTTGAGTCACCTTGTACATATTGACGCCATGTTTTTTTCTTAAAAGATGTATTTTGAGACACCCTGTACACATTGTCGCCATGTTTTTTCTTTAACGTTGGCAACCATGTTTTTTCTTTAATGCTTGCACGCCCTGTATAGCATTTGATTGGTATATTTTGAAACAACACCCTGTATACCTTATGATTTTTTGAGAATTAACCGCCATGTTTTTTTTCTCTAACGCTGCGTATCTTGTATTACCTTGTATCACCTTGTAAACATTGACGTCATATTTTTTTCTTAAATGATGTAAATTTTCACGTTCTCTACTGAATATTTTGAGGTTAGAGTACCCACATCCCCCTTCTATCTTCACTAATAACAAAGTTAGCCTCCTATGTCTTTTACACTTCTGAAAAGACTTAAACATGTTTCTTGGCATCGAGACGAATCCATTGATGCCGAAATTATCGCAATCGGACGACCAGAAGTGAAAACAGGAAATGACCATTTTATTGTAGATCTGGAGTCTCCTCGATATGGACAATCCGAATTCACCATTACTTTTGATGAGCCGGGAGAGTTTATTTTCAGATGAATCGTAAAGATCCGAAACTTTGTTAATTCATACATATATATGTCACCATCATCGATGATAAATGGTGCTGTCCTTCTGGTATGACGTCAGGTTTTTTTTTCTCAAATGATGTATTTTGTCACACCTTGTATATTCCGCTCAATGTCCCCCGCTATTTGTTTTTTAACTTATTTTTCTTTCATCATTATTATTATACCATTATTTTTATAGTTAACAGCCATGTTTTTTCTTTAACGCTGCTCACAACATGTGTACTGCGATGGCAGCCATAGTTTTTCGTTAACACTGGCAGCCATGTTTTCTTCTTTAACGCTACACACACCCTGTATACCTCAATAGCAGTCATGTTTTTTCTTTAACGCTGACAGCCATATTTTTTTCTTTAACGCTGGCAGCCATATTTTTTTCTTAAACACTGGTAGCAATTTCTTCATTTAACGCTGCACACAACATGTATACCGCGATGGCAGCCATATTTTTTCTTTAACGCTACACACACCCTGTATAGCATTTGATTGATGTGTTTTGAAACAACACATTGTATACCCAGTATTATTGTTCTCATATCATTCCAATCAGACTGGAATCGTTATCTCTCAAACAGCGATAACGCCGCCCCAAACACTGATAAGCCACTTCCGTCCTGGATCTCTCTACTTCCAATACTGCGTCACAATTATATTTTTTCCGCAAATATATTCACTGCAAATCAAACAGTGTTTCAATGAAACATGCCAACAACTATGCTTACTGAAAAATTTGAAAATGTACAAATGGGTTATGAAAGATTACCTTCGCAAAAACCACGGGATCCTCCAAAGAACGTTGGATGATGATCGTAGTTGGTGCTAGAGGGAGCAGTAAAACTTGAAGAAAATTGTGGTAATCTGCTACACCGGGAGGGAGAATCTGAATGATTTAACTTCACTTTCCTAGTGGTGAGGTTAATCAGCAGGGTTTCATTCTCGATAAAAAACTCACCTGGAATGCGCACTTGGAAAAGGTTCTACACAAAGTCTGACATTCCATATGTACCAGTTGTTGGATCTGTGGAAAATCTTGGGACTTGGGGCCCAAACAAAACTAATTGAATATATATGATATTTGTCCGGCCAATGATCACATACGGGGTAATTGAATCAGAATATGCAGAAAGGGCACATGTCATTTTTAGACCTTTATCTTCATAATAATGGAGTTTTTTCACATGAGGCTAATTTGGTTAGCGAAAAGTGAATCGAGAGACAGCAATTTTGTTTTGGTGAGGCGAAAGTGTTTTCAATAGCGAATACTACTGTTAAAAATATTCGTCTGGTACTAGAACTAACAAACTGCCATTCTTCAAGTAACTGAATTTCAGGATATATACCGAACAGTTTAAAATGAATAAATTCGAGAAACTTTCGCTGAATTTTTTCAATGAAATCTGAGTATTACAAAGGTTTCACAACAGTTACGAGAAGGAATAGGAGACCCTTGGAAGGAAGCGGTTGTGGCAATGAAAACTTTTAAGGAAGACAAAATAACACTGAATAACTATGGTTATTTTCAACAAGGGTGCCAGATGAGGTTGGGGTAAATATTGAAAAATACATAAAAATCCGCACAAACTCAGACAATGTCACTGGAAAAACTGCTAGATGTGATGATCAATCTTTCATGTTAGGAGAGATTGATCATATACGAAAATAACCTCTGGCCTGAAGAAGAAGATAGATAGATACATTTATTTCAACAGAGTATTTTATAATCATTCACAGGAGTGGCAGAAAATTTGTGTCTGAGAAATACGTCAAAAGGAAAATTGTAAAGATATCAAATATGTGTACATATAAATCTAAAAATGAAGCATTCAAGATTAACTATTCTGTTAGGAACAACCGTATAATTCAGTTTTTATAGGGTCTTTCATTAATCTCTTTCTATCTTTAAATTCAAATGAAACAGAAAGAGTGTGGGATATCATCGAATTTTTTTATTTTTTTGAAAGACCTATTGATGCCATTATGTGTAGAATACAACATCGTTCAAATGTCCGCCACGGCTTCTCTTGGTGGAGCGCATCCGAAACGTCTAATTTTCCATGGCTCTGGCGCATAAATCAAGCTGAATTTGACTGATGACATAGGTTATGTTGGCACAGAGGACGACTTTGGTTTGTGACTTATTCGCATACACCTGCGACTTCATAAAACCCAATAACAAAAAGTCTAATGTCAAATCGCACGATCTCGGTGGCCAGTTTACATTACCTCCACGTGAGATGACCATGTCATCAAATCGACCTTGCAGAATATCCAATGTGGCATGAGCTGTGTGGGACGTAGCGCCATCCTGTTGAAACCACATGTCGTTGGTATCCAGATCATCCAATTCAGGCCAAAAGAAGTTGGTAATCATCGACCTATAGTGCTCGCCGTTGACAGTGATGGCCTGGCCAACGTCATTCTCAAATAAATATGGACCGATGACGCTGCCAGCTCAAAATCCACATCAAACAGTGACTTTTTTGGGGTGCATTGCAAGATCTTGGATCTTATGTTGATTGGTATCGTCCCAATTTCGACAGTGTTTTTTGTTCACGTACCAATTCATCTAGAAATGGGCCTCATCGCTGAAGATGATTTGTCGATGAAAATTAGGGTCAGTTGCCAACTGCTCCAGAACCTAATCAGTAAATAAACGTCGTTGTCTATAGTTGTATGTATACCTTGTTGAACTATCCTAATATTCTATCGTAATTGTTAAATCTAATATGCTTGCTGTCATCGATAGATGGGAAGAAGCATAGAAATCGGTTTTTGTTTTTGAGAACAATCATGTCGAAT